TATAGTATATTATATATTATAGTATATTATATATTATAGTATATTATATATTATAGTATATTATATATTATAGTACTATAATATATAATATACTATAATATATATATTACAATATATAATATATATATCACAAGTCTTTTAGTTATTAAAATTAATTACGAAGAAAAAAGGGTATTATTATTAAAAAGCCCTTTATTTAAAGCGTTATCCCTTAGGGGATAAGAAAACCCTAGGCGCCGCCGTACACAAGTAAAAAAAAAACCCCTACTAGTTATCCTCCAGAAGATCCTCGTTATTATTGCCTACTAGGATATCTATTAGTACGCTAGTGTATATTATTATAAGATAGAGAATATCACTTACTCTCCTCAGCGGCCGCAATTAGCGCCCTTCTAAGGCGCGTAATATAGCGTGTGGGGATACCCTTAAGGTTAAGCGTTATTAAGGTCTTATTTTTACCGGCGGGGGGATCTTCGGTAACACGTTTACGCTTATTTAAGCGCGGGGTTTCGTTAACTTCTATTTAAGTTAGTATATTATCGTATAGCACTATAAACTAACTTACCGGCTAACGAGTAACTAGATAAGCCCGCGCCGACGGTGTAATTACCGTAGCCGCCTTTACCGAAGTCTTTTAGCACTACACACGACGTAAGTATGCCTTTTCCTACAGTATATTTATCGCACCGATAGCGGCCCCGCTTCTCGTCACCGTATATTAATATAAATAACCCGGAAAGAGCCTACGAGCGTGTTATATTAAAATCAAGAAATTTAATAGCCGCGCCTTTCTGATATTTACAGCGTATAGTAATTCCACGTTTAATCTATATACTTATTAGCATATATTATCGGACGTTAATATAAAGATATATACGGTAGGATTATTCTCGTTTATATACTATAAGATCGTACTAGCGTACTTCTATTCAAGCTCTATATATCGAATCGTTAATAAACTGCTATATAGAGCGTGTATAGATATATACGGTCGAGTATAAAGGTATCTAGCAGCGGGGATCCTAACGTTTCTTTTAGCTAGATAAGGGGGGGGGGTAATTCTTCTCTATCGATTTCTATTAGCCACTAGTACTATTCGTCGCCCGCTATTCTTACTAGAGATTATTTGCTTATACCCTCTTGCGTATAGAACCGTTTCGTCTTATATAATAGTATATACCCTATCACGTAATAAGTTAGCCCTAATCTAGAACGGTTTTACGATATCTTACCTAGACTAGTATAGCCAAAGCACTAAAACTAATCTTCCGGACCTATAAAATCCGAATCTTAGCCTGTTAGACCCGTATAATCGAGCCCTGATACTACCTTAGATAGATCTTACCTACGCGGAACCGGATATAGGGGTAACTTACTAGCCTATAGTTATCTAAAGAGTGAAAATAAGATTAGGTCTAGCGGTGGCCTTATAGTTATAGTAGTAGAAAATTTTTCCTCGTAGCTTATTAGCTCGTTATTACGTTATAGACTTTTCTTTTACTACTAGAGTATTTATATATACGAATATATACTACAGCGTACGGGTGTTTTTTTCGTGCCTATAGAGTATACCTACTAAATTTATAGGGACTTTTTCGAGTTATTACAGTGTCCCCTGCGGCATGCGGTACCATCGCCTCTTTCCCCTTTCCTGGAGGTGGAGGGGCAATTGTCCTTGGCACTTGGGGCTAGTTTATCCACTGCTCTCCCTCTTTTGCCGCCATCAGCCGTCTGTCTCTCTTCTTCTCCCCGGGCTTACCTACCTATACTTCACTTCATACCTTATAACATCTCCAAGATTCAGGGCATAAAACCCTCCGCTTTTATTTCCTCACCTTTTGTCCTCTAAAGGCTTACCTCTCTGTATAACTTACCACCCCTCTTCCCCAACTAGCTTCCAACCCAAGAAAAAAAAAGAAAAAAGCAAAAGACCACATGTCAGATTTCGAACCCCCTCCGGGCCCTCCCCCGCCCGAAGTTCCGCCTGGATGGACTGCGCGCTGGAACGACACGTACAAGGCATGGTAAGGCCGTAAGGGGGACGAACATCCCACTCCCCTTTCCCGCTAACTCGCTTTGACAAAACCGTTGACTGACATGTGACATCACACAGGTTCTACGTCAATCTACAAACCAAGAAGTCGCAATGGGACCTGCCCACCGAGCCGGCGGAACCCCTTCAGCCCGCCGAGAAAGAACCCCCCAGCGGCCCGCCCCCAGAGTATGCCCCTCGAGCCGGTGACGATCCCGCCGCCGCCGCCCCGACCGACGTCAAGCAGAACCCCTACCCCCATGCCGCCGCCTCCTCCTCCAGCCCGAACCTGGGCCACAGCCAAGCCAGCGGCAGCTCCTCGGCCCCGCCACCGCAAGATGGAACCCGCGCTGGCCACTTCCCCGACCAGCTCCCGCCCCGCCCTCAGGGTTCCAAGTCGGGCAGCTTCATGGGTAAGCTGATGGGCAAGGTCAAGGGCAGCGGTGCACCGTCGCCTTTGCAATCCGCTCCTCCCCACGGCCAGGGCTATCCTGGCGCCCACGCTGCAGGCGCGCGGACCCACGGCCACCAGGGACCCCTGGGCGGCTATGCGAGTGCGACCGGTCCGTATCAGTACGGCGCGCCTCAGCGCGCTCCCCAGCCCGGCTACGGGTATGGTTACGGGGGACCTTCTCCCCAGCCTTACGGCTACCCCCCTCAGCCCAGTTACGGCGGGTACCCCGGGTACCAGCAGCCTCCTGCTAGGAGAGGCGGCGCCGGCATGGGTGCTGCGGGTGGCATGATGCTCGGTGCCGGTGCCGGTATGCTCGGTGGTGCCATGCTGGCTAACGGATATCATTCTGCCCAGGACAATGCATACGAGGAAGGTTACGGTATGTTCATCCTTTTTTTGTACCTCTCTCTATCCTCTTTTTTTTTTTTTTTTCGGTTGCGGGACAAAATGGCTGACTGACCCCTTCTTTCTACAGATGATGGTATGGATGCTGGTATGGATGATGGTGGCGGTGGCGACTTCGATATGTAGACGCCGCGCATCGACGTTACGCATCTGAAAAACAGAGAGGCCTGGGTACTACGAAGCGAATACGGTGTCTTCGCACCTCATTATGCTTTCCTAACACCTCGTCTTTTTATTCCTTTTTGATCCTTTTTTTTAACTTATTGTTATCGCGTATACGATGGTCTCAATCTCTTCTATGGACTCTTCCATGGATTTCGCACTCCTGATTTTTTTTTTTTTTGGTTCCTTTCGAAGCTGGCTTCGCTCGCCATGTTCCAATCGATTTGACGAGTTGATCATTTTCAGGCAAATTGGGGTTCTTTTGTGTGGTTGCACTGGGCGGGTTGATGTGTCATAAGCCGGGTTTAAATTCAGTTACAGGACAGTAGATTGGAAGCTCACGCACTCCCATATCGCTCTCTCGAGTTATAACGCGACCAACGTCAACACGGGCGCCTCCTTGCGTAGGGATTGTGTCATGTATCATTATACGGTGACGCTATCGGAATCCCAGGCGGTCACCGTTCAACTTTTGCGTTCCTCTACTGCGTAAACGTGCTGGACACGCTCGACATGGTTGACGGTGCATTCTATATTTCGTACCGTAGTCAAAATATATATGTAAAAAAACATCCAATTTACCACCGGAAAGGATCACTTTGCTCTCTCGTGTCACTTTCGCACTGAAGGGTTCGAATAGACATCGCATCGCCCTGGACCTAGTATTACCTCCTCTTTCCCTCGTTCTTCCGACCATTATTCCCGCTGGGGGGGCTGCTGGCGGAACCGGGGCCGGAACCAGACCCGGCTAGGAATGACGCAACGTCGAAGCCGCCCATGGGGTTGGGGCCTGCGCCGCCCGCACCACCCGAGAGGATACTGTTCATCGGGTTGGAGCGTTGGCGCTCCTCGAATTCGGCGCGCATTTCGGGATCCACTGAGCTGGTCGTTAGCATGAAGGAAAAAGAAAAGTAAAAGACGAAAAACAAAGCAGGAGAGTAGGAACGGGGAAGAAGGCAGGGCGGTGAATGACATACTGTTGTTAAGGAGGTAGGGCATGCCGAAGAAGAGCGCCATTGTACCGAGACCCATGAGAATCATAGGGTTCTTCAGAATGATGTTGACGAGAGAAACTATTGTTCCAATAGCATAGGGTTAGCAAGCCAAGCCCCAAGGTGGCCGAGACAGCATCATGAGATATGCCAAAAAAAGAAAAAAAAAAAAAACCCCCCCCAGCAGCAAGAACATGACAAGATGACGAGCAAGAGGGAAGGACATACACTTGCTCCGCTCCACAAAGTACCCCTTCACACCCGCAGCGCGCACCTCGAAGCCCTTCCCCGTCGCAAAGTCGACAACGCGGAGCGCCTCGCCGCGATTATTCCAGTCATTGCCCCGGAACGTCTCCCAGGCGGCCAACGAGCCGTCCGCCGCGACGTCGAGGCGCAGGGGCACGAAGGCGTGGGTCTTAGAGTGGATATCGACGAGGTACGACCCCGGAACGGACACGTTATGGAAGACGAAGGTGTTGGAGGGCGAGAGGAGGGCGGTGTAGGCTTCGCCCGTGCTGACGAGCGTCGCGTGCGTCGTGGGCGGGAGGGCGGACGGGTTGCCCAGCGTCGGGGGGGATGGCGGGACGGAGAGGGTGAGGGTTGTTATTTGGAGGGCCGCGGCTCCTAGGGTGAGGAGCGGCAGAAGGAGGAGGGATCTGAGGTTCATTTTGAGCCGGGGCAGTTGGCGAGTCTGTCCTTGAGTCTGGGCTGGGAGGGTTGTGGTGTTGTCGAGACGCTGGGAGTTTGGTCTCGGACTGAAATTGATGATGATGATGCAGATGCAGCAATGGTAATAGTGGGTCCTATACCGGGAATGGCCAATCCGGCCGCCTAATGAGCGCTGGATACTCAGTACGAAGGGAGTGTCGTCGTCTTCTACCTTACGTAATATAAGGCAGTGCTAAATAGATTTGATATTCCATCCATACGATCCATACGATTACTTGTTGTCTCTGCACTATAATAGACGTCCTTAAAAATAGTTGATCGATATCTTGGGTATTTCTTTGTAGGCTATGATAGCCAAATGAAGGAACATGGCAGCCACAGAATCCGACATCATATATTTACCCATTGACAAAACAGAGTACATCACCTGGAAATAACAAAGTGCTTAAAGAAGAATAAGAATCACGAGCCATCTCAAAAAGATAAACACCAGAAAGGTAAATTACTGACAGGAGTGGGATTTGAACCCACGAGGGTTGCCCCACCAGGAAACGTGTTAAGGTAACCTTAACCTGGCGCCATAACCAACTCGGCCATCCTGCCGTATGTGATGGATGCACCTGCTATCTCCACATATTAAGCAGCAGACTCGGCCGCTCAGAAAATGTCAAACCAACACACCATGTTCCATTCGCATTGTCCAACTCAGCATCTCCCACCTAAAAAATCCTGCGCCATAAACGCCTGGGTTCATTCAAGGCCAAAAGGGAAAAGAAGAAGGAGGAAAGAAGGGCTTGTTAAAATTTGAAGGGGTATCCATTTCTCTATTCTCATAATGTACGTACGCATTAGCGTCTACAGCATTTCCTGGTCCTTTCCTCCCCAGCCTTTTTATGGCGCGAGCGGGGCATCCTCTCCCTTCCCAACCGGCACAGTTGAGCTCTTCTCGGCTCCGCTGGTGGTGCTGGCTGCAGCAGCCTTGAAGGACTGCTCAAAGTCGGCGATGATGTCATCAATGTGCTCCGTTCCGACAGAGATACGAATGAGGTCCTGTTGTGCGCCATTGTCAATTTCCTGAAACTCCTTTACAGTGGGTGTGTTTATGAATTTACCTCAGTGACACCCGAGGCCTTCTTCTCCTCGTCGTTGAGCTGCTCGTGGGTAGTTGTCCAGGGGCTAGATCGTGGTGGTCAGCTGATCAGGGATTCCCTCATCAGACTTCAATACGTCCAGTGCACTTGCCGACTTACTGGATGGCCAGGGTCTTAGAGTCGCCAACGTTGGCGAGGTTGGAGATGAGCTTGAAGCCGTCGACGACTTGGCTGCCGGCCGCGCCGCCGCCCTTGACGCCGAAGCTGAGGACACCGCCGAAGCCGCGCTTGAGGTATTTCTTGGCGGTCTCGTGGTACGGGTGGCTCTCGAGGCCGGGGTACGACACCCAGCTGACGTACGGGCTGTTCTCGAGGTACTTGGCGAGGGCGAGGGCGTTCTGGGCGTGGCGCTCGGCGCGCAGGGAGAGGGTCTCGAGACCGAGCAGCAGCTGCTGGGCCGCGAAGGGGTTGAGGGTGGCGCCGAGATCACGCAGAATCTCGACACGGGCGCGGATGATGTAGGTGATGGGGCCGAAGGTCTCCCAGAACTTGAGGCCGTGGTAGCCCTCCGCGGGCTCTACCATCTGGGGGAATCGCTTGGCGTTCTCGCCCCAGTTGAACTTGCCGGAGTCGACGATGACACCACCGATGGTGGTGCCGTGGCCGCCGATCCATTTGGTGGCCGAGTGGACGACGATGTCGGCGCCGTGCTCGATCGGCCGGAGGAAGTAGCCGCCAGCGCCGAAGGTGTTGTCAACCTAGAGTTAAGCGGTCATCAGCCCGAGGAAAAGGAAAAGAAAGAAGAAGAAGAAGAAGACTCACGATCAGGGGCACACCCTTAGCATGGGCCACCTTGGCAATGGCCTCAAGGTCGGGGATGTTGTACTTTGGGTTACCAATGCTCTCAACATAGACAGCCTTGGTCTTGTCATCGATCGCGGCCTCAATGTCCTCGACCCTGTCGCCCTCGACGAACTTGGTCTCAATGCCGAGGCGGGGAAGGAACACCTTGAACTGGTTGTAGGTACCGCCGTAGAGAAGAGAGGTGGAGACGATGTTGTCGCCGGCATGGGCAAGGGCATTGATGGCGATGAACTGAGCAGCCTGACCGGATGAGGCGGCCAGGGCAGCGACACCGCCTTCAAGGGCGGCGACGCGCTTCTCGAAGACATCTACCGTCGGCTATTGTGAAAAGAATAGGTACCGGTCAGCTTCCGTCACAAGAGCACAGTGAAGCGACGAGAAAGTCGAGCGGGGTTTGAGGGAACGGAAAACGCACGTTCGAAATACGGCTGTAGATGTTGCCGAACTCCTTGAGGCCGAAAAGCCTCGCGCCGTGGGCCGAGTCATTGAAAGTGTAGCTCTAACAAAACAAAGAAAGGCGATGGGCATGGTCAGTTTCGCGGGGTTCTCCTCGCGTAAGGTTAACCGAAAGCAGCGGGAAGGTTCTTCACGAACGAACCGTCGTGGCATAGATGGGCACAGCGCGGGAGTTGGTGGCCGGGTCGGGAGATTGACTGTTAAGAAAAGTCTGTCAGTCGTAAGGTCTAAGCAGAGCTCTACAACCTCGGCGGGGCTTCAACCTACCCCGCGTGCAACTGTAGCGTCTCGAAGTTCTTGCTGAGCTCCTCGGCCATGATGACGTTGTTATTTTGGGGACGGAGAACGGGGGAATATGGTATTTCGGGCGTTCGAGGGAAATGGAGAGTGAGAGAGTAGCGAGTGAGAGAAAGTCGCAGGGAGAGTTGTAGAGGACTCCGTCTACCTTAAGAGAGCAAGGAAAAGAAACGAGCGGTGCGAAGTAGTCAGGGGTTCTCAGCCGAGCTCTGAGGGGGAATGATGCCATCCGTGAAGCGGTTAGCCCTTAACTTTTCCCCGCCGAATCGGCGGCCCCCTCTACTGGCCTCTACTCCTTCTGCTGCCCCTCTGCTCACAAGCGACGTTTACGCCATTGGCCTTTTCGGGTCAAGGTTCTCACGCTCATGCAATGCCGTTCATCCCATGTGTTGTACGGAACGGGTTGGGTTGATGTGCTCAAAAGAACCCAATCAACCCCAGAGTCCAACCATTCCTACCACCCATGAGTGGTGAACTATGGGTGACCATGTCCGATATAGGAAGCTAGGGTGGGGTTCCTGAAAGCACGTCATTCACGCCATCCTCGAGTCATGGCCTTTGTACCCTTGTTCAACGTGGGGGAATCGTCCTCTAATTCTCGGCATCCCGCAAACTAACCAGTGGGGTACTAGTTTTAGGTAATCACTGAATCAGTGGTTTTCTTCACCAGCCCACCTACCTACTGTATGTACTGTACAAACATGACTGACATCCGTTCCAACAGCGTTGTCCCGGGAAACGATGTTCGTCTTAAAATTCAGATGCGAAATGTCCCCCAACTTGCGCCAACTCCGACCATCTACACAAATAAGGACGTAGGTAGTTCGACCAGTCAAACCAGCCAGTCGCTCGAAGACAGAAGCAAGCAACCAAAGGGAAGAAGGGGGGGGGGGGGGGCGCGGGGGAGGAAGAGACAGGGGAAAAAAAAGTGAAAACAATAAAAAAAAAAAAAATCGCTAGCGGATTTAGCCTCTCCGAGGACGGCCTCCAAAACCCGTACTCCTATGCCCGTTTTAAAGCCATATACATTCGACTCCCCAAAATCAGCACCCCCAAATTAAAACTACACCAGGATCACGCCGACTCCGCTTCCCGCATAGGAGGGCGCGCCTGCACAGCATACGGCGACGGCTTCCTCTGTAGCCCGCCCTTGAACACATACTTGGCCATGAGGCCGAACGTGACGGACCACAGGACGAATTCCACGGACGCAGCGACGACGGCGATGCGCGCAGCGATGCATTCAGCGCCCCGGCAGAAGACGACGCGGCCGAGGAAGACGGCGAGGGCGATGAACCCCGCGAAGTAGAAGATGGTGTTGAGGAACTCGAAGGCCAGGGCGGCGTACGGATGCGACGCCCGCGGGACGAATCGCGGTGTGAGCTCGAGGTATGCGAGGGAAACCAGCGTCCAGGTCGGTGCGAAGATGAGGAAGGTGAATTCCGATGGCGCCGCGAACCGGGTCGCTCGGAAGTACCACTCAACCACTTATATCCCCGAGGAAGGCATGTGTCAGCGCGATGATATTTCGTTGAAGCTGGGAAATGTGGGCAGAAGGTCGGCTACCGGCTACCACTTACCATATGCCGACGTGGCCAATACTGTCAGAGCTAGCAGGCCCTGCAGGATGCGCAACGAGATCATGAGATCGATACCCATCTTAATTGTCCCCCCAGGAAAGACAAAGGTAAGTTTGTGGAGAGGTCGTTAATAGGAGGAATTCAGTGAAAGACTGTGTTCAGTTGGCGAAGAGGCTGTCGGATGCTGTCGGATGTTGTCGAGAACGACCGGATCAAGATCTCGGAAGAATAAAACGACTGTCTTCCAAGGCACTACGAAATAAACCAACTTCGAACGCAGCAGAGCACAGTGACCCGGAACGGAACCTAAGAGAAACAGCAGATGAATACAATGATATTCTGAGAACATGAGACGAGTTAAAGATTACAGTACCGAACATCGCGCCCTAAGCGCATATGGTGCGAGTTTCCATGTTTGTTTTTTGAATCTCCGTGACTTCTCAAACCGGCCCGGTGGTCATATTTTGGCCTACTTGCTTGGACCATGATTAACTGGTGCTATTGAAACCTGATGACAAGTTTCGAGGTTCATTAACCAGCGCCCCTGGGGGTTTCTTCTGGTTACAAAATCAACTTGAAACGCATTTGACATCGCCAAGGGGCGTCCAGTGCAGAGCCCAACAAGAACCGTTTAAGTAAGCCAGATCATCGCAGAACCCTCTCTACCATTCGTCAGCGGAAATCGTCAATTGCAATAGTAGATGTTCGGTATCGTGGGCACGAGCATGTCGTCGCTATCAAGGCGCCCTTCAACAAACCTCTCCCCCGTCCCACGGCCAAGCCAATTCGGAAAGGTCCAACGCGATTGCTTGATTACCTCAGTTGGAGTGAAGCGTTAGGCATTGACTTTGTAATAATTTCAGTTTTCTTCCCATGTTTCTGGGGAGGGTGGCATTCGGGGATGAGCAGCAGGGGATACTGGATCGACAGCCGATAGAAGAAGAGCACTTCAGATGAAGAGAAGTTTGGATGACTTCGCAAGGTGATCGGGACGGGAAACATGTCGTTTTGATCTACACACAAGAACCACTGATGAAGATGGATGGAAGCGACGATGGCAAATAAGCATCTACCAAGGATATTCCATCCATGCCCTCGATTGACCTTCTAGCTTAGTCAAGTAAGCCGAACTGAAGGGAGGCTCCGACCACGTCACAATACAATACAATACCTACCCACGATAGGTATCTCGGCCACCAAGTGCGGAAGAATCCCGGACATTTATCGGTGATGATCGGGCTATCGGTCTCAGGAGCGCAAGTGGAGGGAGGGGAGCTTGGGGAGTCTCTGGCATGTGAAAGCTCGGCTTCACCAACAAGTACCTACGGACAGGGTACCTACCTTACCTCAAGGTACTAAGTACCGTAGCTGAGGTAGGTGCCTTAGGCTGTACGAGGAAGAGCTAAAGACGGCTTGTCAGACGGACGGGATAAATGGACCCACCGAGAAAAAAGCACTTGAACATGGCACAGGGTAATTACGTCGAAGTCAAGGCAAATTAATCTTTAAAGATATAATAGTAACATAGAAAAGTCGCGGAAACTTATAACTTTAATTTTGCTTGCTTTATTAATTTAGATGTGGAGATGTCGTGATACTAGTGTATTAGTACCTAAGGTAGGCGCCTTATCGAAGCAGTGAAAAAAAAAGACCCAGGGGGAATAACGTTGTGTTTTAGGTGTTACCAGCTAGAAGGTTGCTGATCTCCAGCGTCTACCCTGGTGTCGCACATGCATAACCTCGCCCCGGGTCCCCCGTATCTTAGCGGCTTAGGGGCACTAAGGAGGCCGCTTCAGCGGGCGGGTACAAGAGAGACCAGCGCACCACCCAATACAGTTCAGCGCACTTACCGTAGTGGGCGGGGTCTTTCCCTGACTCGGATCTCGGTACTCTGTGCCGCCCCAGTAATCTCCCACAATAGGTACCTCTAGTCTCTGAGGCTTCCGCTTTCCCCAGGTCGCAGAGCGCCACTGAGCGGCGCCCCCTAAGGTGTGCCTCGGCCTTGGCATCCCCATTCACCTGTGCTCGTCTGTCAAGTACCCCGTAATTACTCAGTACCTTACCTGTAATTATACCGTTTTTCGTCTGGTGCTTGTCCCACTCCTCTCGCCTTCTTCTCCTCTTCATCCGCTTCCCTACCTTACCTACCTACCTACCTCTACCTCCTATTCAACTTCGCCTGTCGTGTATCTCTTCGCCGAGCCGTCCTACCTCCTCACAGCACACAGAGTCAACGAGATTGGAGCCCTCTTCGCCCCTTATAATCGCCTCCGTAACCATCCGTTCTGAACAACAATAACAACATTGGCCATCTAGCTCACAGCCGGCCACGAACCCGACTTACGGATCCTCCCCCGACTTGACATAACTCGACAAGATGGCTCCATCCGTAGACACACGTGCCGTGATCAGGCAGCTCGCCACCCCTCCGCCTCCGGGCTCCCCCTACGCCCTCCCCGTCCAGGGGTCCGAGACGGAGGGCCGGACCGCTGTGTATCGTCACTGGCGCAACCGTGACAACGAATTGATGATCACCCTCGATCCAGCGTTCCGGACCATGTTCGACCTGTTCGAGGAGTCCGTCAGGAAGTTCTCCACGTGCCCGTGCCTCGGCCATCGTCCCTGGAACCCGGCTACCCGCACCTGGGAGGACAAGTACACCTGGATTACCTACGCCGAGGTTGCGGAGCGTCGCAAGAACCTTGGCGCTGGTATCGTTGAGATCCACGAGCAACACGGTGTTGGCCGCGACAGGTACGGTGTCGGCCTGTGGTCCCAGAATCGCCCAGAGTGGCACATCACAGGTACATACGGCCCTTTTTTCTTCTCTTTTTTTTCCTTTTTTCTTCTTAAATTTACGCTATCGCAATCCATTAAGCGGCCGTTTCCTTGGTGCGCATCGCAAAAACTGACTTGGACGTGGACGAATAGAGCTTGCTGCCGTGTCCCAATCCCTCTTCACCGTGTCCCTGTACGAGACTCTCGGACCCGAGACGACTGAATACATCATCAACCATGCCGAACTTGCTTGCGTCGTCACGTCGCTACCTCATATCCCGACGTTGCTCAAGCTCGCGCCCCGGATACCGAGTCTCAAAATCATCATCTCCCTCGATCCCCTGGATGCCGGCGAGCCTACCGGACACTCCAAGCTCTCCGTGCTGAATGTTCTTGCCGCCCAGCATGGCATCAAGATCTACTCCATCCACGATGTGGAGGCCATCGGTGCCAAGTCTGGCCGCACCATGCGCCCACCCCGTCCCGAGGACATCCAGACGATTAACTATACCTCGGGAACCACGGGCGTCCCCAAGGGCGTGGTGCTGACCCATTTCAACGCGCTCTCGGCCGTCTCCGCCGCTCGCGCGCTCGAGACGGTCACGGAGCGTGGAGTCCATATCTCCTACCTGCCTCTCGCCCACATCTACGGCAGGATGGTCGAAAGCGTCGCGTTTGCCGAAGGCGCGCGCCTCGGCTTCTTCCGCGGCGACATCCTCGGCCTCGTGGAGGACCTGAAGATCCTGAGGCCCACGGCTTTCGTCTCCGTGCCTCGTCTGTACAATCGCTTCAACTCGGCCATCCGTGCCGCGACAATCAACGCGGACGGCGTGAAAGGCGCGCTGTCTCGGCACGTCATCGACACGAAGAAGGCTTCCATGAAACTCCCTGCCGGGAAGGCCAAGAACACGCACCTCCTCTACGACCGGATCTGGACGCCCAAGGTCCGCGCCGCTGTGGGCTTGGATCGTGCTACCGCCATGACGAGCGGCAGCGCCCAGCTGGATCCCGACGTGCAGCAGTTCCTGCGCGCTGCCTTTGGCAACGAGTTCGTGCAGGGATACGGTCTCACCGAGTCGTACGCCCTCGGAACGTGCCAGGCGAAGGGCGACTTCTCGACCGGGAACATCGGAGGCCCCGCTCTCTGCTCTGAGATCTGCCTCGAGTCGGTTCCCGACTTCGACTACCTGGTCACGGACAAGCCGAACCCGCGCGGCGAGCTGCTGCTCCGAGGCCCCAACATCTTCCAGGGCTACTACAAGAACGAGGAGGAGACGCGGAAGGCCATCGATGCGGACGGGTGGTTCCACACCGGCGACATCGCCGAGGTGGACAGCCTCGGCCGGTTCAAGATCATCGACCGCAAGAAGAACGTCCTCAAGCTGTCCCAGGGCGAGTACATCTCCCCCGAGCGCATCGAGAACGTCTACCTGGGCAACACGAACCTCATCGGCACCGCCTATATCCACGGCGACCCGAGCCAGTCGTGCTTGGTCGGCATCTTCGGCGTCGATCCGGAGAACTTTGCCCCCTTCGCCAGCAGCGTCCTGAAGCAGACTGTCGACAAGACCAACGTGACTGCGCTCAAGGCTGCGGCGAAGGATCCTAAGGTGAAGAAGGCCTTCCTTCAGCAGCTGGACAAGATTGGCCGGAGCCACAAGTTCAACAGCTACGAGAGGGTGCGGAATGCGTACTTGGATGTTGAGCCGCTCACCGTCGATAACGACCTATTGACTCCTACGTAAGTGCCCTTTCCCCCCACCCTCCTTTTTTACCCCCTTTTCCTAGTCCCCTTTACTAGCTCCCAAGGCTTATAATGTGGCGCATTACTAATACGGGGTTTCTTGTCAAATATAGGCTGAAGCTAAAGAGACCGCAAATCGCCAAGGCCTTCCGCGAGCACATCGACGAAATGTACGCTGAAGTCAATGCCGAGGCCCCTGAGAAGGCTAAGCTGTAAGGTAGTGTGAAAGAACGCTTTGGGCTTTGGAAAAAAGGGGAGGTATAGTGTTCGAATAGGGGGGTGGTTCCGCAGCAGTGTCCGATCTTTGAGCATTATCGCCATGTAGTCGGATTCTGGGAAGCGGTCGATTTTGAACTTATATACCTGCATCGTTATTAGTTCCATGGTGCTGAGCAATTGCATAAGGTACTTTTTGTCCGAATAGCCAACATCTCTTCAATGCTCGATTTTGAAGCCTTCAGTTGTAGAAAATGATGCTTCTGGAAACCTTTATGATATGTTTATATTTACATTATTGGAGCCCATAAAATAGAATATTAAAACTGTTTTATAATCTTTCCGACTTCTAAGTTCCTGTCTCACCCCTATGGAATGACAGATAAAAGGATGCTCGCGTTCAACACCTTATTTATGCGAATCTTTCAAGCTGTTCAACACCCGGTGTATCAACAACAAACTCAACATCTTCGACTCTTCGAGGGTTTATAGCGGAACTAGCTATGTATGCTGATGCTAGCCACCTTGGCTGAGATCGTATAGACCTCCAGGACGACTTCGGTTATAACTATCCAGACTGGTTGACTGCTGCTTATATTTGACTGTAAGCTACCTTAGCTGGCTGCTACCAGCTCTGTCTATCCCTATTATGTTTATTATTCGAACTATGGCTTTTTATACCTGTGATGTTGGAGATATAAGAGACGTGTTTAAATGCGAAGGCTTTAAGGGGCGTATTGGATGCTTTGCTGTACTATAAATTCTTATAAGGCTAAATTAAAGCTACTATAGTTATAAGGTTTAAAATAATCAATATCATAATCTATTAGAGATATTAGTAAATTCTTCAAAGATACTTCCTCGCTTATTAAATACTAAGCTTGTATTAAAGAATAATATGCATATATAGAGTTGAATCTACTATTCCTCCCACTTTTTTGGACTTATTGGCCCTTTCTAAACGTCACCGAAACAGAAAAAGAAACCCACCCCAATAGCAATCGAGCTACCTGCCCCGCGTCGATGGCAGGGAGATGCACGAAAGTTACGCCCAAAACGTCGATGCCTCCTCGATGCCAATGGCGACAGCCGTTTCGGTTTCGTTTAGCTCTTTACCTTCGGAGGGGGGTGCTATAAGCTTCGATCACCCGCCTTCACAGCTGAATTCGTCGGTCAGCTTTCGACCGGCCTCTAGCGGCGGCGCGTATCACGACGCGGAGCCACCTCCCAAGAAGCAACGCGTTATACCGCCCGAAGTCGGTGCCAAAGGGCCCTGGCAGTCCATTTCGGAATGTATAGAGGCTTACATCTTGCCTGCCGTCGATCAACAAGTATCCTGCTTGTCTGACACCGGATTGCAGCTGGGGGACTTGGAGGACATATCGGACAAGGTAAACAACTAAACGGCCCCGGGGGCAACGCCTTCATAGTACGCCCGCGAGTTAGTTAACACTTGAATCTAACAGGTCGTCGATCGGATTACCAACGACCCTCGCTTTAAAACCGAATATGTCCTCAGTCGCGGCCATTTAACCCTTTCATGCCAGCGCCTTCTCACCGAACAGATCGCAGATGAGGTAAACAGGCTAAGCGAGCAGCGCGTACCATCGAACTCTCCAGATGAGGTAAGTTAGCAACCCGAGCCCCCTTTATATGACATTGGTGGGAAGGCGGCGGCTAACGTATAGGGCAGGAGCTCCAGCGCAGCGTCACACCAACAGCGCCGGGACCTGAATTTACTACTACAATCCGCTTAGCAACACCACCGTGTCTCACCCCAACTAGAGATCGGCCTTTGCCTTCCATCGAAACCCCTAACGCGCCACACGTCGCCACTCCTTCCGCTACCCCAAACGCCAGGAGGCAAACGGCCCGGGCCTCGGAAACAGGAAACCATGTTTCACCGCTAAAATACCGACGGCAAGCGAGGGCTCTTGCCTGGAAATACCCAGAAGCACAAAAATCGAGGCTGTCCTCCACTGGCTCGCAGCAGCCCAGAGGAAAGAGCAAGAAAAGACATACTTATCTTTCGTTACCTCGACTGCCTTATCTGAAAGCTAGTGATAGGAAGCGTATTTTGCGCGGTTCTGCCGAATTCTTTCTCCTCCTGCGACCACCTCCGCACCTGGACCAGGGCGACTCTATATACCATGTCGATTTCACACGCGAGGAATCGGAGACGGCCTGGCGGATAGCACGGGAACTCCGACACCAGAGAGATGCGGCCACGTCGGCATCGCCTGGAGAGCTCGAGTCTTTTTGGACGAGTCAGCGAGGCGCGGACCTGGCGGCGCTCGCCAAACAGATCTGTCTTCGGGATGGACTGGAGCGGCGGGACGAAGATGCCGTCCTGAACTTCCTCGAAGACCAAACACGAAGTCAGACGAATGCGGTTGCGACAGCTCTTTCCCTCGAACTCGACGAGCTCGACAAGCAGGGCGAAGTGGTCCGGAGGAGCCGTTTGCCGTCCTTGCTACTCACGCGCGAGATGGAGGGGGGAAGGGGCTTTGGGAGGATGCGCCGGCTGGTCAACTTTACCAACGAGTTTAGGAAGCTTCGTGAGGATGACCTGGAGCTTCATGCCGAATGGACCGGTTGCGCGGGCGACATTGCCACGATCACCTGGGTGTCGAACAATGGGTACCTCTGTGGTACGACCGCACACTCCGACGCCCACAATCAGCAGTACAATAAGCCCGGGAATTTGCTTCTCGGCTCGCCGTCCCTGGGCTCTCTGCGAGGCTATCCGCAACATCGCATCGTCCGGCCTCTCGTCGAGAAAGGCGAGAATGCATCTGAGGCTATGAGGGAAAGCCAGGACCCCTGGCTCTATTGCTCTGTCGTCTCGTCTGATTACGATGCTGCCCATGATAGGGCTTTCACTTCGAGCTTTGATAAGACTGTCAAGGTGTGGAAAGTCGACAAGAATGGCGCCGCTATGGAACTACTTGGCACCTGGCCCCACGAGGGCAATGTAAACTTCGTTGCGGCGTCGAAGAACGGGTCGGGACTCGTGGCGACGGCAGCCGACGTCCCTTCCGAGGCTGTTCGGGTATACTATGTAACGGATGGCGATGTGTCTTCGAGCCCCTACAGGACGTTTTCTGGCAGCCGGACTTGGAACGAGGATGACAAGAACACGCAAGAAACGCAGAAATGGGCGTACTACCCGGCAACGATGCAGTGGGGAGTCGCTCCTGGAGTTCAGCACCTGCTCTTGGTGGGTTACTCGCCGCGCAGCTTCAGCATTCACGACGATGACATACCGGAAGAAAAACGCCAGTCGGGGGAGATATGCTTGTGGGACTGCATCACGGGCGAGCGGCGTAAGGTTTTGACGGCGACCACGCAGAACGTCTTCGAGGTGGCATGGCATCCCACCCAGCCCGGTTTCATCGTTGCTACGTCGCCTGCGGGCCTCCATGTCGATGAGCACGTGCGCACCCAAATTCGCGTTTTCCGGCCAACCGACTCGCCGGACGAGATCGGGGCCTTTACCGAGGTGCAATGTCTAGACTGCACCGCGGCCGATATTAACGAGCTCACCATCATGCCCTGCAGCATGTCTCATTGCTATATTACCGCTGCGGCTACCGATGGCAACGTATATGTTTGGGACACGGCCCGCGGCGACGACCCCATCCACGTGCTTTGCCACGACGTCCCGGTGGAAGAGTCATCCGGCGATTTTTACGAGCGGGAACGGGATGACACGGGAGTGAAGTTCACGGCATGGGGCACGTCGCAGGACCGGTTCTACACGGGAGGTTCTGACGGCATGGTCAAAGTGTGGAACGTGCGAAACCTGAGGAACCCACTCGTCCGCGACCTGCTCGAGGCCCCTGGGCCCATCTCCTTCGGCGCCTTTTCCCCCGATCGCTCCAAGTTGGCCATCGGCGACGCCACGGGCCGCGTCTTCTTGCTCTCCGTGGACGAAGCCGACCAGCAGCCCGCCGACTGCGTCGAACTCGGCGCCTCCAGGGCGGGGCCCATGGCGACGCTCACCACGTCCACGTCCACGTCCACGTCCAGGCGGCGACGACGTCCCAAGGGCTTCCAACCGCACGCGACGCCGCCGCCCCCGGAAGGCATGGAGCCGACGTCCGGTCGCGCAGAGGCACGCAAATACCTCGAGGCGGGCCAGTTGCGCATCCACAAGAACCCCTGCATCGGCGCCGTCCAGGGGGAGAGGTACCCGACCCTCGGCATGTATTACGCACAACTCCATAAGGACGGCGACCCCCTGCAGCCGCTGGTGGGATACGTGGACCAGGAGCAGAGGGAGAACGCGACCATGTACAGTCAGAAGTTGCGCACGCTGCGGGCTCCCTTGCCGCCCTCGTCGGATACGCTGGAGCGGCATCGCTGGAATGTCACGCGAGACCTCGACCTACGCGCTTTGCCAGCCCTAACGCAGCAGGAGCTTGAGGAAGACGGCGTTAGGCTAGATGATTTTTCCGACGAGGCAGCGTGGGACTTTGAATATGAGGAGGAGTGAAGACGACAGAGATCTCTATCAGCCTCACTCTATCCTCCCTCCCCCCTTTAGGGGTCATTATAATATACTTACTATAGTCGTGGCTCGACTTTATTCTATATTCTATCTGTTCTTTGGCTGTAGGAGGGTAGAGAGAATATATTCACATGGAGTATTATCCTGCTATGAATATAGATTTTTACACACGAGATACAGAAACCCGCTAGGCCTAAGGAGACAGACCCTTTGTTTTTTTCCTAGATTATTATAGGACTAGGAAAACACCTAAGGTTTCTTAGTCAGGGTAATTAATGCGGCAAGGCTTCTTCACCCTCTGCTTTTAGGGGCCTTGGACAGAATAATTTCTTTTTTTATTTATATATTAGTTTATTTATCTCTTTTCCTATAAATGTCTCTAATATATTCAAATTTAAAACACTACTGTTATGACTATATCTCGTCTAATTATTGACTACTTTTCTTTCTACGCTCTAAGGGCCATCTCTACTATAATGTAAGTATTATCCCACCTTAAGTACTTATATCCCGGGATACAGGCCCCCTAAGTCAGACTAGCGAAGAAGGGAAAGGGGCAAAAAGGAGAAAAGAAAAGAGAAGGGAAAACAGATAAATACACTGTAGAACCCGAGAAGGAACAACCCACCCCGGTTCTCACGATCCTTAAATACCACTACCCCACATGCAAATATTAGATGTTCAGCATCATCTCGCATTTCCTCGATCCAGGACCAATATTTAATCATGGCTTTCACCTAACCTAACACTTCACAGCCTTCTCTCTTCCAAGGACTGACTATAGGCACTTCGCGTGGCCAAAACCCACCAATACAAAGAGTTTCTGTTATGACAACAATTCCTCCCTGGTTCGCCCTACGGCAAAACAAGCGCCGTTCTTGGTATTGTTGCCAGAACGCAGCAGGAGGTGACCTGAACCTCCTTCCCTAGCCCACTTTTCACCTCCCAGACTCCTGAACGCCGATGACACTTGAAGGCCCCAGCGGCAGCAGCCCCTAGAGGCCTTCTTGTGGTGAAAGCTCAGAATAATTATACCCCGGCCCGTCGAAAGTGGACAAAACAAAGAAACGGAGGCCAACTCGGCGACTGTCTTTCTTCAAACCACCCATAGTAACCGCCTAGCACGAGGCTTCTGCTAGTTGGGTGGAATTCAGGACCGATTGGTCGCACCGCCCTGCGAATCAGGGGTAGGGAACGCGAAACCGGGAGGGAAGCTCGGCATGCCATTCGCCATGGTGCCGATACCGTAGGGGAACTGCTGCGGGAGTGGTTGTGCGTTGGCGCCGGAAAGCTGGGACTGGGCGTCGTCCCCGCGATCTTTACCACCACGCCGCCACCGGTCGTCAGAGGTACGAGTCGACTTGGGGCCTTGGGAGCCCCCTTTGTCCGTCTGCATACGACGGCTAATGGCCTTGGACGACACACCAGCGCCAATCTCAATATCGGGCTCCTCCACAACCAGGCCACCCTCTAGAGGCCTTCCGCCACTGCCGCCATACTCCGCCGTTAACATCCACTTTCTGTCGGCCTCGGTAAGTGCGGTAATGGGAATGACGCTGACACCCGTTGAATAATCGCTGCAGTCTCGGGGGCCAAAACCGACACCCCATCGCGTCTGATTACGAAGTCAAGTTAGTCTATGTAGGGCATGTGAGACGGAGACGGGGGACTGGCTTCGGGGTTTTCATGTTTAACATACCCTTAGTTGATGGCCATTAATGGAATGCTGGCGCTCCATGGCCCGCTTGGCGGTTTCGGCGTCCTTTCGTGTTACCATCTTGACGAAAGCATGCCGCTTATCTCGGTTGACAATACACGTCTGCACCTCCCCACACTGATTGAAGATGCTGCGTAGTTCTTGCTCCGAGCACCTGCAGTTTACCACGTGGTCAGCAAACGAGCAGACCTATTTGGATAAAGGGATAAAGGGAATAAAACGCAACTTACGTAACGCCGCCGACAAACAGGGTGCGGCTGTAGACACGGATATGGTCCTGAGGAAGGGTCCGGTCGTATTCAACCCACTTCTCAGTACGAGGGTCATGCTGGGGAGGTCCGCCTGGGCTGGGACTTTGGCCCCGTCGACCGGCCGGGCTCCGTTGGCGGAATTCTGAAGATCCACGACCGTTTCGTCCAGCACCGCTCGAGGCGTGGTCGTCAAATCGACGTTCTGGCCCGTCTCGCCCGCCTCGGTACGGGTCGCGTGAATCCCACCGACCGCCGGGGGACCGAGACCGGGATCGTCCATAGTTTCTCTCGGGAGACCGCCTTCCTTGCCCGTAGCCAGGGTAGTCACGTGAAGCACCAGTGACGGGGGGAGTGTTCCAGCTTTGTGCCGCACCGTAGGGGGCTTGGGTCGGAGGCACGGACTGGACACCTTGGGGTTGGATCATGCCAGCCGCCTGCAGACTCTGAACCAAGGCGGGAATCTTGTCCAGCGGTACACCCTGATCGGCCAGTGCTTTAATCAACACTACTTGCTGTTGTACTTCGGGGTTGAGGCCGGGGGCAGAACCGACAGCAGCCGGTGGCGTGGGTGCTAGGCCTGGGTAGCCACCTGCATTACTATTCGCTACAGCAGGTGCGCCCACCTGAGGGACTTGTGCCGAAGGAGCACCTGTGGGGAATGGGTAAGGCATGGCTGGCACATTCATCGCGGACGCGGGCTGTTGTTGTACGGGGTATGATGGAGCAGTGGGATTGGCGGCGGGTCCCGCCGGCTGATGCTGAGAGATGCTTTTCAGCAGACGGGACAAGTCAGTGGGAGCCGGTGGCTGCACTGGGACTGGGACCAGCGCGGGCCCCGAAGCTACCGGGGGAGTTGGCGTAGGCTGGGTGCCAATGTTGCTGTTCAGGCCAGTCGATACGTTCTGACGAGCAATGTTGGCCAGGGCTTCCATGATGGCGTTGCTGTTTGAAGCCGTAGCTGGGGGAATTGGTGTAGCCGAGGCCGCAGGTGTGGCGGGCTTGCTCGACTGGGCAATACCGCCATAACCGAGAGAAGACACGAGGCCAGGAGGAGGGCTTCCGTCAGGGGTGGTCGACTTGACATTAGAAGCACTCAGCTTGGCCCTGAACGAGTCGATCAACGACTGAGGGAAGGTCTGGCCTTTCTCCCAAATATCAAGGAGCTTGGAAATCTTTTCCTACGGGTCCAAAAAAAAAGGGGTAAGTGGGTGATCTTCACTCAAGGGTGCCAAACAATACAGAAGGCTGACGGAAATGAAGGGTAGAGATGTCGGCTACAGCCTTGCAGCGTCCACATAACAAGTACGCAGTAATGAGCCGAGCCTAAGTCCCAACTGCGTATGACTATGGCAATCCCTCGAGATTGTACGGGCGGGGGCGGGACACCTTAACCTCGACCATAGCAGGGGAATGGCCTCATTACTGAAACATGCATGTTCTAGTTGAAGTAGTGCGTACCTTCTGTGAATCCGGGGCGGACTGGATTATATCATTCATCAAGACGGGTATGAGCTCAGTTACTCGGTGGACGCCAGCGGCAAACGTTCCGTCGCCGGCGGAACCATCTACAACCTGGCCTTGAGACTTTGCTTGCTCAAGCCATTTGCGTGTCACCGAGTCTACGACGTATAGCACTCCGAGCTTATGGTCGCCGTCGGTTTTCTTGAAGTGGGTATAAATCTTTTGAATAAGGACAGACTCGGACTGGAGTATAGCGGGTCAAGTCAGTCGACGCCTCGCTATTGTGCAGAGAACAGGTAAAATTGGGAAGGGGTCAGAAAGGGAAAGAAAGACTGTACCTGTACATTGGCGACGCAGAGTGCAGTAAGAGAGGCGATCCTTGAACCAGAGACACCGGGAGGCTTGAGGGCGGACATGGCGTTCAGGCCCGCCTCCAACTCAGCGACAGCAGCCGCCATGACGTAGGTAGAAGATTTATTGTACGCGACAAGTCGAGCCTTTTTTGGTCGTCGTCGGAGTCGAAATGGTGGAGAGTAAAAAGGGCAGCAGACGTATCCCTTGGACACCCAGTACGAGATATCCAAGGAGGTAGACTGGAGAAGAAGAAAGAAATGGGTTGCGGCGAGTCGAGGGCAAGCTTCGCAACGCTTTCGACTCCAAACAAGCCGAGACCGTACGTGGAATTTAAGGGTGCGAGACTTATTAACAGCCGAGAAGTTTTAGAAGTCGGAGATGGTTACTGAAAAGTTGGACGCGATGACGATATGAGGCGATGCAAAGGACTAGTAGTTCCTGTCTAGGATCTCGAACCAGTTTGATCGATAGAATACGACCAGGATTTCTCTTGGACGTCTCGCTAATAAATCATTTGCCTGCGTGCTCAATTTCTGTGCGTGATGCTTTTACGGTCGGAGGAGAGCACGACCACAACCACGAGACGAGACGTTTGTCAGGGCAAGAACGGTTCCCTAACAGAATGTACGAGAAGCCCCCGAGTACTCGAGGCGTTCGAAAGCAAACCGTTTACACAGCCGTCTGCGTACGCGATTCACCTGATTGATGATTGACTGACTCTACTGCACGGTAGCCGATGACCCGGCCACGCAACCTTTGGTGAGTAGGTAAATGGGCAGTCGAAAGTCACGGCAATGCAATACGAAAAGCACGGACTACTCGCGATGGAGATTCCGAGGTATGTCGTCGGCCAGATATCCCTTGTCTGTCAGAAGTACGGGTTGTCGTAACGAGTCTTGAGGTCCTGAAAATGAGCGTTATGATTGTCGGGGGGGTGGGAGGATGGGAAGGGGAAAGGAGGGTTGTCTGTGGATGGGAGAATTGAGGAAGGAAGGAGGAGAATCGAAAATCACTCCCTTGGAGAGGTCGGAATTTTAATCTCGCAGAAAAATAGGCCCCACTCAGCAGAAACCCGACCCGAGGATAGGGCATCCGTATTAGTCATCGAATCGCAATGAGTCCGTGCATAAGCGACAAATTTCACGAGAACTAACATTACGGTGTTTTGGCGTACGGAAGAGGAGTGTGGGTTCCCGGTAAATTTGAAACTCAGGTTGAATTTACGCTCCCTAGGTACCGTATGAGTCTCGTACCGTATATCCACATATCCACATAGCTTTACCCAAAAAGTATGGGAAAAAAGGAACAGTACATAGCAGCATACTAGGTAATACATAAATGTCTCTGTATAGAAAGAAGGCGCAAAAAATGCCAAAAAAAAAGTGAAGGATCTAATGATCGCGTCAGGAATTGAGCCCGACGTGGGGGTCGAACCCACAACCTTGAGATGGTGATCTCTTAGTAAGAGTCTCACGCTCTACCGATTGAGCTAGCCGGGCAAGCGGCTTGTTTTTTGTTGGAAGCTCGTCCGCATCGAAAACCTATACGGCTAGTAGTAGCAAACTCAAGCGTCCAGACTTTCACGCAAAGACGACTCAACACAATCCGCAACACATACATAATAAGCAAGACGCTGAGGAAGACGAAGTAGGATGAGGGATGAAGCTTCCAGATATTGAACCCTCCTTCCCCAACTTCCCTAACAAAGGGCTGGCTCTTCGAGACAATGCTCTTTCTCTATAAAGGAGCTATTTTTTGCTCGGAAACGCGCAGAACTGATGGAGGGCCATCAGCGTTCCATCCCCCGCCCCCAATCCCTTGTGACCGAGGTCCTGTTGCACGGTATGTTGTATTGTCGTTACAGCCCCTTGTCCGTGGATCAACGGAACAATCTAAAGAGGGTTTCCATAGGTACGCTCAAGGCTTTTCTTTCTTGATTTGAGGATACCACAAGCCCAAGTAGCCGATTACCTACCTTACCTGTAGGGAATAGCCTCAGCTCCCAAACCTTTCCACTTCCAACGCTCAGTGACGTCTTGGTGGTCTCCAAAGGTGTGCACGAGGGACATACGTGGTCAGCCACAGCCATCTGCGGTCTGTATCTGTATGGCCTAGTTAGATGTAGATGGAGGACCCAAGGCGCGGTCCGTACACCCGTTGGTTTCCGTTGAATAATTAGTGTCGTCGTGGATTGGGCCACATTGGTGTCCCCCTCTGCCGAGTCGGCCGAGCTTCTCCAAAGAGAGCACAAAGAGGAAACGCATCCCAATCGGTCGAATGGACGGCATAAAAGCCACTGGTGAATGCATCCCACCAATGGCATTACGGGGCGTTTCATTGGCGGATAGGCATGCCATGATGCTCGCCGCGTGTCTACCTTACCTAGTAGGTAATTGACGTTATCAGGTCAGGTACCTACCAGTACCTCGAGCGTGCTCAATGTGAGGGTTTCGTAGTGTACGCCAGACAACAACCCACCACAAATCCATCCAAGGCTTCAAATACTCCCTGTGTACACCAATGTAACGTCCGGCAATAAGGTACCTACGTTGTAAACCGGACGGGCCATAAGGTGGCTTCTCGCAACCCCCGGCACCCTTCCCCCAAGCGGCAACCTAAGGTATGTACTTCGTACCTTAGCTTCGGCAGCCATGGTCACCCCGTCTGTTGTCCGTGGTTCCGCCGACCTTTTTTTTCTTCCCTGATCCAAGTGCGCATTTTTCTGCCAATTTGTCTCCTTTCCCATCCTCCAACCCCGACCCCTATCCTCAACTTTGTCATTGATCTCCTTGGTTTTGTGTATACATCATCCACAATGGCTTCTGTCTCGCGCATCGGCTCCTCTGCCCTGCGAGCTTCGCTCCGGGCTCCCTCTTTCAACAGCCGGGTCGCGGCCTTCAATGCCGCCCGGTGCTACTCGGCCAAGACTCAGGTAAGCCTGCTCTTTTCAACACGACGCAAAGACGTGATCTCCGTTGCGATGTACAGCGCTCGTTCAACGGCGAACTCTCCCACAATCAATGGCACCCGAACATATCGGCTCACGCATATCTTGTCTATAGACTCTAAAGGAGCGTTTCGCCGAGCTCCTCCCCGAGAAGATCGAGGAGATCAAGGCCCTTCGGAAGTCAGTATTTCACAATATTCCTCGCTCACCAGTTAACGACATGTCGTAACTAACACACGCATCTAGGGAGCATGGCTCCAAGGTCGTCGACAAGGTCACCCTTGACCAGGTCTACGGCGGTGCCCGTGGCATCAAGTGCCTTGTCTGGGAGGGATCCGTTCTTGACGCCGAGGAGGGCATCCGCTTCCGTGGCAAGACCATCCCCGAGTGCCAGGAGGTTCTCCCCAAGGCCCCCGGCGGCAAGGAGCCTCTTCCTGAGGGTCAGTAATACACGTCTAGTGCCTTTTCCCCCCCCACGACGGTCTGTCGTCTGCGAGAGGCAGCAGTATCTAACGTGCAAAATGGCAGGTCTCTTCTGGCTTCTCCTGACTGGCGAGGTTCCCTCCGAGCAGCAGGTCCGCGACCTCTCCGCCGAGTGGGCTGCTCGCTCCGACCTCCCCAAGTTCGTTGAGGAGCTCATCGATCACTGCCCGACCGACCTCCACCCCATGGCCCAGTTCTCGCTCGCCGTCACCGCGCTGGAGCACTCCTCTTCGTTCGCCAAGGCCTATGCTAAGGGTATCAACAAGAAGGAGTACTGGGGCTACACCTTTGAGGACTCCATGGACCTCATTGCCAAGCTCCCCAACATCGCCGCCCGCATCTACCAGAATGTCTTCAAGGGTGGCAAGGTCGCCCCCATCCAGAAGGACAAGGACTACTCGTTCAACTTCGCCAACCAGCTCGGCTTCGGCGACAACGCCGACTTCGTCGAACTGCTCCGCCTCTACCTGACCATCCACACCGACCACGAGGGCGGTAACGTCAGCGCTCACACCACCCACCTGGTCGGCAGCGCCCTCAGCTCGCCCTACCTCTCGCTCGCCGCCGGCCTCAACGGTCTGGCCGGTCCCTTGCACGGCCTGGCCAACCAGGAGGTGCTGAACTGGCTCACCGAGATGAAGAAGGTCGTTGGTGACGACCTCAGCGACAAGGCCATCACTGACTACCTGTGGTCCACCCTGAACGCTGGCCGTGTCGTGCCCGGTTATGGCCACGCCGTCCTGCGCAAGACTGACCCTCGTTATACTGCTCAGCGCGTCTTCGCTCAGGGTATGTAATCTTCCTCCCTCCCCCGGGGTTGACCATTCAGCCCTGCATCGCGAAACCCAAGCCTCGGCCGTGAAAACCCCCCAATTGCTCTCACGGCGGAAACCAGACTAACATATTTTGTTCCACAGAGAAAATGCCCGAGGACCCCATGTTCAAGCTCGTCAGCCAGGTGTACAAGATCGCCCCCAAGGTGCTGACGGAGCACGGCAAGACCAAGAACCCTTACCCCAACGTCGACGCCCACTCCGGCGTCCTCCTGCAGTACTACGGCCTGACCGAGGCCAGCTACTACACCGTTCTCTTCGGCGTGTCTCGCGCCATTGGTGTGCTTCCCCAGCTGATCATCGATCGCGCTGTCGGCGCGCCCATCGAGCGCCCCAAGAGCTTCTCGACCGCCAAGTGGGTTGAGATTGCCAAGAAGCTGTAAAAGCGGCAATTGAGACCGATAGATGATCTGTCGAGAATCGGGGTGAAAGCCGCATGAGTGAGTGGAGTCGGGAACGGGAGAAGAACAGTACAAAAAACGGGATGCGCAATTTTGCTGCGCAGTCGGGGGAATAGACGGGGGAGTCGGGGAAACTGACGATACCAATCGCCTGCGCCTTTGTACAATAATTACATGTCACGTTTACTCATGAACACCTAGGGATTTTTTGAATACCTGGGGTCGGGAGAAAGGGTGTTTGCTTGCTCACATGCAATTCCCTAGGTTTCAAAATAACTTTTTCTTGCTTCGTTACTCCTTTTTATTGTAGTTTAGACTGATTTAATCGTCACTTGGAGAAAGAGCGGTCTCAAGAGTTGGTTAGAGTCTCAGCTTTTTTTTCAATCTTGGGATTTTATTTGTTGGATAAGGTAGGACCGGATTTGGTCGACGGCTGGGGGAGCCGTGTCTTGTAATGTTTTTGCGTTGAGGCCCGGGGTCTCCTTGTTGGGGGAACGGGATAAGAAAGTTGGGGGCGCCCTTCAGCGTGAAGTCCGCAGTGTAATTTACTCCGTACCTACCTACCTCAGGTACCGAGTGGCCTACTGGCTGTAGGTACTTAATTTGATGGGGCGGCAGGCGAACGGAAATATCACGGGCCAAATTCAATTCAATTCCCTGACCTCGAGCTCACCCGATGGTACCTTCACATAATGTACTGTGAAGCTCCCAGCAATGCGACCGACCAGCATAAAAAACCATACCTTTTAGCAAACAGCCCTGTGTTGCGTTTCGAGAGATCATAAGAACAGGTTAGTAGAGGATGCTTAAGTCAACGCTAGATATAGGTCTATAGTCTCGTCGTCGTCTCAAGAGAAGAAAATAGACAACAAAACGAAGTTTCGTATTATCGGGATTACTAAGGCATTCGTAGATGGTTCGCGAACTGTCTCGCGAACGAGCAGCAGTCGAGTCGTCTTCCGTGATTATTATAGAAGCGTTGATAAGGGTACTTCTACGGCCTATAAAGGTACATTCAACCGAGGTACCGATGGTTATCGCCAAGGTCCCGATAGTTCTCGCCAAGCCAATCCCAGGGTGCCATTGGGGAAGTGAAATGATCCACGCCAGATAGGCTGGCGTAAGGTACCTAGGCCGGGCATAGGGGGGAACCTCACTCAAAGTTCGGTGTAATTTCCATGTGCTGAAGAGCAAGTTCGTCCTCTCGCGCACGCCCGCACTCCTACGGAGGTCCCGAAATCCCCATCCTCTTCCTTATCATCATCCTCTCCCAGCTTCCTTCTGTATCCTTTGGTCTTACTCATCGACCATCACCACCTCTCAAACTCCCTTCTTCGAGTGCAAGGCGTCGTTTGTTTGCTAGCGTCCGTAATCACGCATACAAGCCCCCGTTTCCCGGTCAGCATTCTGCTCCTCGCCTCCGAACCTCGGACCTTGGCCGAAGGCGCTTGACACCGACTTCCTCGGATACATCCATAACATTCCATCCTCCCTCGCTCCATCCCCATCTCCACACGTCTACCGGGGGGTTTTTTTTTTTTTTTGCTTTTTTTACGCCTCAACTCTTTCCCAGAAAATAACCACACTTTGCGAAGAAGCACCCTCTTCCCTTGGTCAGGGCCCCTTTCTTGAATACCCAGCAAAGCCATGGTCGCCGTCGCACACGTTCCCGCCCCCCTCGGGGAGGCCCATCTGGAGAAGCAGCCCATCAAGTTCTCCAACCTGCTGCTAGGCGCCGGCCTCAATCTCTTTGAGGTCACCACCCTCGGCCAGCCCCTCGAGGTCGTCAAGACCACTATGGCGGCCAACCGTGGCGACGGCTTCACCACGGCTCTGGGTCGCATCTGGGCTCGCGGCGGCATTCTAGGCTGTAAGTTGCATACATTCTCATTTCTCTCCGCTATTGACTCGACTCGACAAAAAAATCGGGTAACTGACATGTGGGTTCCCAAATAGATTACCAGGGCCTCATCCCCTGGGCTTGGATCGAAGCCTCCACTAAGGGCGCCGTCCTGCTCTTCGTCGCCTCCGAGGCCGAGTTCTACGCCCGCCGCGCGGGCGCTTCCGACTTTGGCGGCGGTATCATCGGCGGCATTACCGGTGGCGTCGCCCAGGCCTACGCCACCATGGGCTTCTGCACCTGCATGAAGACGGTCGAGATCACGAAGCACAAGATGGCGGCCACGGGCGTGAAGCCGCCCGGCACCTTCCAGACGTTCATGGACATTTACCGTCGTGAGGGCGTTCGGGGCATCAACCGCGGCGTCAACGCTGTGGCCATCCGCCAGATGACCAACTGGGGCTCCCGTTTCGGTCTCTCCCGCCTCGCCGAGCAGGGCATCCGCCGCGTCACGGGCAAGGAGCACGGCGAGAAGCTCGGCGCCGGCGAGAAGATCCTCGCCAGCGCGCTCGGCGGTGGCCTGAGCGCTTGGAACCAGCCCATCGAGGTCATCCGCGTCGAGATGCAGAGCAAGAAGGAGGACCCTAACCGCCCCAAGAAGATGACGGTCGGCAATACCTTCAGATACATTTACGAAACCAACGGCATCCGCGGTCTCTACCGCGGCGTTGCCCCTCGCATTGGACTCGGCATTTGGCAGACGGTTTGCATGGTTGCTATGGGTGATATGTGAGTTTCCTTTGCCCTTCTTCCCCGTCTACTTTTTTACAACTGAGACAGTGAGCTAACGGCATTCGAAACCAAACAGGGCCAAGACGTATGTTGAGAAACTTACCGGTGATAAGGTTACGGCTAAGCATTAAGAGATGGCGTTAATATGGAGTGCTTGGCTACCACTTGAATTGGTAACAAAAAAAAACATGCTTATAGAAAAAGGGTTTACTGTTCTTTTTTCGTTCTGGAAACTCGGCTCTCGCGTACTTCGTACAATCGACGCCGACTTGCTTCTGGCGATGCTTCGCATAGGCGCTTGATATATAGCAGGAATTGCGACTGAGATGTAGTGAGAGACGTAATACAAGTCCTAAAGTCCGCAGAGTTGCTATCGTAGCTATACATTTTTCGTCCCTGTGGTTAGCTTTTGAGGTTTTTAAAACTCCGTTCCCTTTGTTCGCGGGGCCTGCGAATAAGCCGATAGAGGGAGGAGTAACCAACAAGGCCAGTTGCACCCGCTGGATGTAAGCAAGACAATCTGCCGCATCCGGGCAATATGAGTTATATATATATAATCATCAGAATTCCTGGCCGTATTCCCTTTGGTGTTTCCGAGTACGTCTGGTGCGCCACGGCACGCTGTCCAAGTGGTGTCGGCCGACATATTGGCAGCCGCGCCAGGTTTGGGCGACAACAAGTCATTACCGGCTTTTCGCAGGAGGCAACCAACGGGGCAGACGGAGATATATATGAGGCTCTTGTGGGACGTCGCAGTAGGGTGTCATGTGTCATGAGATGACGCTACTCGGAAAGCCCTGGACATCTCTCAACACCCAGCCGCAGGCTATCGCCAGTCTAGTCCGGACTTGAAACCCCGACTCCCTTGAAGTTGAAGAGGATAGGACGCAGTAAGCCAACACCAAGAGTCGTCGATGCGACAACTTCCAACGCTCATGAAGGGCATAAGTAGAACTGAGGCCAAGTACTCTGGCAAAATGACCTCCAACCTCTTGTCGCAGACACCAACGAGGACAGGAACCGCAGTGCTCCCTTTGCTTGGCCCAATCCAACGGCCGCTTTGTGGCTAGTGGGCACAATATATCTTCATCTGTGGATCCCTTCACCATTTACCATAGGGATATCCACTAAGAGAACATCACCCATCTGCAGGATATCTACCTCCCAGCGTAGAGGAGAGCCATGCCATTGGACATATCCAGTTGGTTCTCTGACTAGTATGTATCCATTACCATATGTCCTCTCCGTTGGTGTTATCAGAAAGGGGGCAAATAACCAGCAGAAGACTCAGAAATGACAGCCTGAGAAGCGCAAGGGAAATGTTTATTACGTAGCAAGTCAGGAATAATAGAATACAACCTTTCCAATGACAGTAAACAGGCCAGGTAGCCTACGGATAGAATGTAAAAGCTCAAAGCTTTCCCCTCATCTTTTGACTCCCTGGGGGCATCTACCAAGCAGGCCGCAAGCAAGCCTTGGACATCGGGGAATTCCTCGTTTGAGAATTTGGGCCTCCAGGACGCAACCTTGTACTAGGTGAACCCTGAAGGGCCTGTCCGCAACCTCCCAGTAACAAGCCCATAGCTGGATTTCTTTGTCAAGGACACCGAATTCCGGATACTGCCCATACTGCTCAAAGAAATGGGCATAGTATATATGATAGAATCCGGTGTGACAGAGCATTACAGCACAAAATCTCGCCGGCCTATATCTTCAACTCTAGAGTTCACAGAGCCATCAGGGGACCAGGGTGTATAGTTCGAGGGTATTCCTATCTAAGTATATCTCAACGATGACAACGAGTGTCACCGTGTATCTAGTCCTCTCGTCACATACCTAGGGGATGCATAGGCACCTGGATATATTCCACCCCCTAGTGGATGACACTGGTCGACTCGGACATTGTTGTCTCTGGTCAGGACAACTGGCTAGTCAACCATCATCTAGAGGCAGGAGAGACATATTCCAGAAAAGAGGACCTGCCCTGCAAACAGAAGGCATACAGAAGGGAACCCATATAGTTGAGCAAACGCCGGTGGGAAGGTACAGAGACACGCAGGCAGGCAGGCAGGCACGTACCTACCTACCTAAGTAAAGGAGCCGCACATGCCCCAACCTCCCGGTCCCTTACCTTGCAGCCTCACTACCTACCTCTATAAGGCCCAAAGCACGATTCTTTGGCATCCGAGTTGGCTGGGAGTGCTCTGCCCGATGGTGTAGTATGCAAAGCAGCCGACTCGGATAGAAAACAACTGTTTCGACAGCGAGTTTTCAAAGGTCGAGCTTACAATCCCCAACGAGGTTGATCGACCAAACTTTCCCCCCCCCTTTTTCCGTTTCCTTTTATTTTATTTTATACTTTCCCTATGACCTTCACTCGCATCTCTTTGTTGTTTTACTTATGGTGTGTCATTCCACTTATCTTTCTTTCTATCCTTCGTTCTATTTTTCTTGTCCGTTTCGGGTATTGAGATTCTTCTTGCTGCAAGGTTAATAGACGTCCACCGTCCGATTCGATTTCGCTGTTCCTTATGCACACCCTATCTGTACTGGAGACGAGGGCCATGACACGTTGTTTGCTCGTGGAGTATAATAGAATAAGCGGTGCAAAGGGATCAACGTCGTCTTCGAACCGAGGAATTCGCACACATCGACTAATACTGGCTAGAACTCTAATCAGTACGAATGCAACCGAGGCACCTGCTGAGGCAGGACTCGCGAAACAGAGGTGGATACTGCTCATCGCTTCCCTCGGCGATGTATCTCGCAAGATGTATCGGATGTCGCGCAAGACGGATATCGAGGTTTGATGGCCCGCATGCCATTCAGCTTTGATTCCTTGGGTCGCGTTCAAGGTGACGGTGGTCCGGCTCGGCCGATGGTGCCTGACATATAATATAGCCTTCGTTTAAGGTCAAGAATTCAACTTCTTCACATGCTTGCAAAAAGTAGAAGGACGGGAAAAGAAGAATTTCTCCGACATGCATACCACTTGGAGTGTCCTGGCTTTGACGTTTTTGCCCACGCGATGAAAAGAGGGAACGAAGTCATCAAAAACTTGCGACGTTAAGAACCGCCAAGACGAAACAAATGGCCGAGAAAAGCTCAGATCACAGCCAAGACGAAGGTCTGGGGAAGAAACAGTCTTGGCTGCGGGATACCGGAGACAGCCAAGCCTTGGTATGCGTTTCTGACAGCCTTGGCGGACCTGAGAGACGACATGTCTTGACTGGACCTCTCATGAATTTATTTCTGGTCTTTTCTTTTCCTCGCTCTTTCAAACTTTCGTATGCCTCTTTCATACCTTAGGGATGTTGGTTTAGATGGAAAAAATAGGGAACGGGAGGTGTTGGTCCCGTCATGTCGCATCTCATTGGTGTATTTGCAGTGTCAACGGAAAACTCACGCCGTCAAGCGCCGTTGTCATGAGCACTTTAGTTAATGGGAGAACTACAGGGGTGTTTGAAAGTTGCTTTGGCTTCGTAAAATGTAAGCAGGTATGCAGCGACGACCCGCGTTGCCCCGAAAGTAATGGACAGCCTACGGCCCATGACCGTCATCGTGGGCGTCATTTCAACAGTCCCGGCGGTGATACTCACTCGACCTTTCTTCCCTCATACATATCAGCTGATCTCTCCTCGAGAAGGACATGAAGGGCATTGCTCACCGCTACCCTAGATAGGCAGCTGATCGTTGCTTTCATGGCAGGGTCTGAGCGATTAAATGCCCCGGAAGACGTATTCAAGGTTGAAGCCTTGCGATTTTGAACGAGGTATTTTCGGAACCTGGACTGAGCGCCGCCATGTCCTCTGCGGTGGCTCCCCCACTTTGTCTCTCCAAAGGACCGAATGGCGTGAGTGGAAACCTGTAATATCCGGGGTTTGCAGGGACTTCCTTGGTGGGCTTGATGTGTGGGAGCCTCGGATGCAGCCACTTCTAACAAGGGGCCAAAACGAGCGCATAGAATAGGTATAAGTAGACTCCTTCGTAAAGGAGGGTGCGGGATAGGAAAGTACCTAGGTAGCTTATTAGTAAGGTGAGGTAGGTAAGGTATCTTAGGTTTACCTTGCGGTTGGAACTGACCAAATCAAGAAGCCACAGGGAAGTTCTTTCACCCTTCCAATAAGAGAAGCCCACCCAAGTCGGCATGATCTTTTGCCGTGAGACCGATCTCAGCCCGAGTCTTTCATTTCCAGGACCCGGACATCGTAGATAAACAGCGACGGACGGACAATATGAGCGACACTTCATTGGGTTAGTAACGACTAATCATCCTGGTAAGTCTCTTTGTCAGATTCAAGGCGAAATCATGAAAATGACTCGGTGAAACATTTTATTTTCATATATCCGACCAAGGTTGGGCTTTTTCGCACTCGACGGTACTTTTTCTCGGCTTGGACGGCCTTGCGACAATTCCTCTTTGACCGAGGTGGTGGTGGCCGCGCGGAGATAAAGCGGGCCTGGAGGGCCACCCGAAATGATTACCTTACTGCAAGGGCCGGATCGATGTGGGTTGAGAGAAAGGATCGCTTGAATTGATGTGCAAAGGAGAATGAACACACGGACACGGTGTGAATAAGCTACTATGACACGGTGGCCGACCAGCAAGGGTTGGGTCCAACAGTCCAATCGCCTGGTAGGTGATGCAAGCCAATACTCCGTACTTCGTTACTGCTTCGACGTCAGGGTGGCTTTGGGGAAATTTCTCGTGCGATTCATGTCCCGACAAGTCCCTCGCTTGCACGTAGGGGAGGTTCGACGAGGTGACGATGCAATCAATGTCGGCCTAGATTGATCGGTCGCTTAGGGTGAAATCGAAAGAAAAAAAGAAAAGAAAAATTGGAAGAAAAGAAAAAGGTGCGCCAACGGTTCGTGTATTTGACTGGACCGTTTTGAAGACAAGGGGTGTGGCTGTATTAGATTGTTTTCTAGAAGCCTTCACGAACTCGCCAAGTTGTGATAATACGATAATGTTAGAACACGAGCTTAGCAGGTTGCCCTACGGGCAACGCCGTAAAGCTCGTCCCTGCGGGAGGCCTGTCGAACAGACCACAGTCTTTTCGGTTACATAATGGGCCGGATTGCCAAGAGTATAATCCGGGTGGACGCTTACAGAATCTGCACCATATAAAATACGGTGGCAGCGTTTCCCTGACGGTCTAAGACAGTTATAATAGTATATGATTGCCTTAATCAATTTTGACCTATTTTATAACGATTTTGACTACGCTTTATCTAATAATTAAGAGTCTTACTTACTAAGTGAAGATATACCTATTTTACCTACCCTTTTACCACTACTACCGATTTAAGAAGCTATCTAGCTACGCCGATATAGCGTGTTAATCTATAAATAACCATTAAGATATCGTATCTTAGCCCTATTACGTATAAAACCTATAAGGATTAGGAGCTCTAACGACGCCTATACGAATCGGTTACCATCTATAATAACGTGTAGAGGTTTCTCCGCCTAGTCGATCCGACTTAGTCCCCCGAGGAGCCTATAATACCGGATTACGGTTCTTTCCCCTCTATAATACCTAGGCGTACGCCTACGTAATATCTCGACGTTACGGACGTTGGCCAGAAAGTATACAATATCGAAATCGCGCGCTGGAAGATCCTATAAACGTAATACGATAGCTACCTAAAAGGGATTAACGCTATACTAACCTAGCAGGTTAATACTATCGACTAAAGCCGTAGATAACTACTACGAGGAGGTATACCTCGCGAGGTATATAAAGCCGTTAAACGCGATACGGATTAGTACCTAGCCACCCGCTAAACCGATACCCACGAAGAGTATATTAAGTATACCCGTTACCCTGCGAATAGCCTTAAAAAGCTCGGGGAGTAGTTAGATAAGTAGCAGCTACTACTATAAAGCTATAAAGATACCGGTTTAAAGCCCGCCACGTATATATAGATTATAGACTTCTTTAAAGATATACGCCCCTATACCAGCCGCGATTAGACTAAGGCCGAGGGTCGCCTAATAGATAACCAGGTAATTATACCCGAAGACCTTTACACCCTCGGTCAGAAGTATATTAACACCAGACTTAAAGACTAAGGAAAACGCGGTAGCCACCGCGCTATAGTATTCCCTACACTATACACCGGAAGCGAAAAGGGTAAAGATACCTTAGAGGCCACGGCTAAGCCCCGTAAGAAGGGCGGCCGTGGGAAGAATAAAGCTAAGAATCCTACTACCGCGGTATCTACGGCTATACCTTTAGCTGCTTTAACTAACCGTTCTAAGCACCGCTAATCTACTCTATAGAGAGGGCAGATCTACCGCGTATACGCTATACCTAGCCACGATATTAACGCCTACTTCTATCTATTCCCGGATACGGTATATAACGATTAGACACCCTTTAAGAGCACTAAAATAACCGTCTAACGGATCCTTAAATATAACCCCTCGCTGCGCGCGGAAGTAGAAGAACTACGCGCCGTAAAGAAGATAAAGAAGGATATAAGCCGGGACTTAGTATAGCTTAAAGAGGCGTGACTCGACTATAGTAGTGTCCGTAGCGGCGTCTCCCACGCTACTAGCTTTATAGCAGGAACCGCTACTACTAGTTACCCTCTTCGAACCTCTACTATCCTCGATTCCGGTGCCACTATTTATATACTTAACGATTTTTCCCGTTTTTCTGATTTTACACCCGCCACGCAGGGGGACTACGTGGTAGCTGGCAGTTCGTCCCTGCCTATTAAAGGTTACGGTAACGTAACCGTGAGATTAAATAGACTAATAGGAGACCTCGATTTTAGGCTATTAAACGTCGTATACTACGAGGATTTTACCTATAATTTAATCTCTAACTAACGCCTATATCTTCGAGGATACTAGTAGGATTAGAAGCCACTAAATAACTATATTCAGCGTTCCGATAGATCTATACTATACTAGCTAAGCCACCGCCTCGATTAAACCGTTATTAAATATATACCCTCTAACCGATCTGCGGCTGCTTTTCTAGGCTCTTCTTCTTCTTCTACTACCCGAAAAGCCGTCCATAAATCGACGATACGATATCTAAGCACTATATAAGGCATCCTATAGTATCTACGGCTAGGGCACGTAGGCCCTAAACCACTTCGGCACCTAGAAGAGCACACGCAGAGGGTTAAAATCAAGGGACTAATAACTATTGACTATAAGGCCTACGAGCTTATAAAGATAAAGCGGCACGTTAGTAGGCACCCGTATAACGCACCTAATTCTATAGGGGAGCGGTAGGCGATTAATTTCACGGATTTTAACCGAATATCCGACGGAGACTCGCGGTTTATATTTTTCACCGACCGTTATAGTGGCTTTACGGCCACTTACGTTATAAAGAGTAAGCTAGTAGTGGATATCCTCGTAATGATTAAGGAATTCCTCGTCTAGGTAGACCGCTAGTTAGGCTATAAGGTGCGCGTTTTCGAATCTAATAACGAGCTAACTTAATCCTATAATATCACCTAATTCCTACGTAGAGAGGGTATCCTTTTAGAGGCCTCTACTACCGATATTTAAGTCTAGAATGGGGGTACCGAACGCACTACTACCGTGGTTATTTCGAAGGGTTATACGATGAATATCCATGTGAAACTGCCGCCGTTTATATAGCCTAAGGCTATTCCCACGGCCGCGTACGTGTATAACCGAACGCCACGAAGGCAGTATAATAATAAGGATTAGAAAACGCTATACGAGGTGCTCTTTAAAAAGAAGCCGATTTTATCACACCTTTAAGCCTACGGCTATAAGGCGTACGCGATAATATAGGACGCCTAAAAGGCGGCTAATAAGCTATTAAATCGTATCGCTCCCCGCATATATATCGGCTACCTTATCGGCTACGATTCCACTAATATCTTCCGTATCTAGGTGCCTAGCCTACGCCGCTATAACCGCGTTATTCGAACACGCGATATAGATTTCAATAAACGCGCCTTCTTTAATGGCGATATCGCCACCTTTAAGGATAACCTCCGTTAATTAACCGAGGAGTAATTAGAAGACCTAATTAGTTAGATCGAGTAGGAGAGGGCTAGAGATTTATGGCCGTTTACGGACGTATAAGCTAAGGACCCCCCCCTTTATATAACTGCTTATTTTAAATTATTAGATCCGGAGATAAACGCCCCCAGATCCCCTTCCTTAACGGCTTTACCGTTAAGGTTATAGTCCGTAATACCCGGCCGTAAAGGGGTAAAGGAGGCTATCTCGAGTTAATCAGGATAAGATTTAGGTCACGAATAATATAATTCAGCCGGTATAGCGCCTAATCACCGTTTATATCCGCCTAATCTATTACTTCCTACTCTACTAATAACCCCGCTATCGGTTATAGCGCTAATAGCAGCCGTTATATTAGGAAACCGTAATACCCCTATAGCCGTAGGGTTCTAGGATAACGGAATACGGTGCTACGATACCCCTATAGCTACGGTTATAGGGCTCCTATTAAATAAAGGAGCGTAACTAATTTGGTAAGGAGATAGCTAGAAAAAAGACTATTAGATTACTACGTTTAACGCTAGCCGGTATGCCCCTAATATATATGTATTAAATAGGACTCCGCTAACTAAATTACGGTTCAAAAGGTCTACGCCTATAGCGTTATAGTGACGCTTAATAACACCCTATAAATCTATAGCCCCGGCGGTAGCCACCGAAAGTATATCCTAGGAGGCTATCTCGGGAAATATAATCCCGGCAGTTACTTTAGCGGGTACTCCGGCGGTTACCCTAGCGGCCGTAAAGATCTACCGTAAAGACCTCCCTTCTCCTCCGAAGAACTCTCGCGATATACCCTTGCACCCTTACGGCCACCTATTCCGATAGGTATAAGAAGACTACCTACGGAGCTATAAGGAGATAGGGTCGTGGATACGGGTGCCGGCGTCCGTAGCAGATAGATATCAGGTTCTTAATTTGATATAGGGGTTAATATATAAGTTCGATAAGCATAGATTTCTATATAAATATAAGGTAAGGCTTATAGTGCGAGGAGATTAGCAGTATTAATCCTCGCTTAAGGAGATATACGCAGTAATACTAGCCAGATAGTTATTCCGCGCGTTAATAGCTATCGCCGCCCGATTTAACCTTATGCTATTATAATTTAACGTTATAAACGCGTTTATACACGCCCCCCTCCTCTAGGATATCTTTATATACCCGCTACTAGGCTTTTTAGCCCTTAGGAGTCGTTTACACCTAAAAAAGGCGTTATATAGACTTAAGGAGTCTTTATATTAAGGAATAGGCTATAATACCAGGGAAAAGATATACCGTAACGGATAATACTATTCGGACTTAACAGTCATATATTATTAAGACTTTAACTTAAGGAGGAAAAGGGGACTTTTCCCCCTCTACGCTAACGTGGTAATTTAGTCTCGCCGAGTACTCGGCGATCTAAGCGTATCCCCGATTATATATAGTGCTAATCCACCGTGCCACTTAGTTCCTTATACTACCCCCTCTCTAACAGGGCTAGTCCCTTAGGCCCGTTCTATCCCC